CGAGCAGCAGCTCTCGCCCGGTCAAGCTGTGGGCTGCCTAGGGGCTCCCTCTCCCCGTGGCTTTGTCTGCGCCGCGAGTCTGTGTGCGTCTCTGCCTCACGGAGGGAGTTCGGGTCAATCGGCCCCAACGGACGTCTACTCATCATGCAATTGCCATGCCATGCAGGCCGCTGTGGCTGTGTCCGCTCTGCGCTGTTGGTGTGTCGCTGTGCCCGCTGAGCGCGTGTTGTCTGCTGTGCGTGTGTGTTCAGTCTGCTCGCTGAGCGCGTGTTGTCTGCTGTTGCTGTTTGCTGCTCTGCTGTGTAAAAAAAAAAAGTGCGCCCTGTAGTCACAAATCAAGTCCTGTACTCTAAAACCTAGTTTAAGCGAACACAACACACGCACGCACTTTTTTTCCTGCATCGGCCCCTATATTGCGCTGAGCCCTCTCAGGCAAGATTAGAAATCTCGCTTCGCTCGAATAATTAGCAATGGATCCATAGCTGTGTTTCTGCGATTCCTCGAGCAGCATGCGGTGATATCTTCCCTTTGGGTGACAGGCTCTACAAGGCAGTTTGGTGGCCATCTTTCCATCTGACTGTATGTGGTGTTGGGAAGGCGTCCAAGGAAGATTGTGAGATGTTGTTGGGTTTTTCGGGTGTGTTTTTTTAACTCTTTATGGTCTGTAGTTAATCTTTATTATATCGTGTGTGTGCGAGCTGAAGCCAGATCTGGGTTTGAGAAGCGCTGCTGCTGCTGCTGCTGCTGAGGTGCCCTGCGATACTCATTCTCAATTTTAGGCGGAAGATTCTATGTGACGCTTGATTCGATTCGAGTCAGGCTTTTTTGTTGAGTGGTGCTGGTGTTTTTGGTTCATGCCCGGGTAGTTGACGGGTCATGAAACGAGGAAGCAATACCTACGAACAGCGCCCTCGTTTACTGTATGTAGCCCGTACACCGCTCTACCGTTGTCTGCTGCAACGATCGACGGTTTACCCTTAAGGGAAAATCCTTTGGCCCCCCCCCCCTCGTCCGGTGTTT